AACTTTCTCCCATCTCCTGACTGCATCTCTGGAGCTCAGCCACAGTCATCTTTGGGTTCTTCTGTATCTCTCTCACCAAGGCTCTTCTCCCCCGATAGCTCAGTTTGGTCGGACGGCCAGCTCTAGGAAGGGTTCTGGTTGTCCCAAACGTCTTCCATTTAAGGATTATGGAGGCCACTGTGCTCTTAGGAACCTTAAGTGCAGCAGAAATTTTTTTGTAACCTTGGCCAGATCTGTGCCTTGCCACAATTCTGTCTCTGAGCTCTTCAGGCAGTTCCTTTGACCTCATGATTCTCATTTGCTCTGACATGCACTGTGAGCTGTAGGGTCTTATATAGACAGGTGTGTGGCTTTCCTAATCACATCCAATCAGTATAATCAAACACAGTTGGACTCAAATGAAGGTGTAGAACCATCTCTGGGATGATCAGAAGAAATGGACAGCACCTAAGTTAAATATATGAGTGTCACAGCAAAGGGTCTGAATACTTATGACCATGTGATATTTCAGTTTTTCTTTTTTAATAAATCTGCAAAAATGTCAAAAATTCTGTGTTTTTCTGTCAATATGGGGTGCTGTGTGTACATTAATGTGGAAAAAAATGAACTTAAATGATTTTAGCATATGGCTGCAATATAACAAAAAGTGAAAAATTTAAGGGGGTCTGAATACTTTCCGTACCCACTGTACATCCTTAATTGCATACTTTGTTTATACGTTTTTAAAATAAATATGACCGCACATGTGGGGTGTAACACAATGCTACCGTCTGTATCCATTTGTCACAAAAACATCCGTATTCAGTTTTATACCAAAAGTTGGCCAGGCTTTAGTATCACATCATGAGGTAAAACAAACACCTGTGCAACATCAGTCAAGACCTGCACTGAACAAACTGCAAAACATTTAATTTTGGCTGGATCTTGCCAAATATCCATGAGAAATAAACTCAAATCTAAGCACATCTCCATTTTTTATTTATAGCTTCTTTGTGGTAAAATGCATCGATCGAGTGACATCTGAAGGGGGAGGGGGAGTTTGAATATTACTGCAAATATTCAGACAGTTTTTTCCATATCTGCTCAGAGCGTATCATCCGTGCATATCCAAATGATATATCTGTATTTGTTCACACTCCTACTGTATTCATTCTACTCCTAAGACAGTGAAATCCACTACCCACCTGGAAGCATGTGGGTCCTGGTTTGCCAGGCGGTATATCAGCTTGATAGTAGACTTTAAGTTCAGGCACCACAGCGATGACAGTCTTGATGACAAGTGCGATGATGTCCGACCATACCTTCTTGATATCTACACCTTTAGCTGCCAGCCTGTACAGCACACTGGAGAGAGTGCGCTTGCTGCCTGTGTTCTGGCTGTCTGAATGGACAAAGTTGCCACTGTGGACATTGAGGGAGTAGTTTGTCAGGTGCATGAAGACATGGCTCAGATTCTTCTGGCATGGCTCCTTTAGTCAGAATAAAAATGACAGTGTAAAATAAAGGTATGTGTCATGGTATCAAAGCAAATTAGCAGCTGCAAAGTAAACCTGTCGGCATCATTAGCACCTGATGTTCTCACCGCCATCTTCAATCTCTCCCTCAGCCAGAGCATCGTTCCCAACTGCTTTAAGACCACAACCATCGTCCCCCTTCCCAAGAAGAGCCCGGTCACCTGCCTGAATGACTACAGGCCAGTGGCACTCACCGCAATTATTATGAAGTGTTTTGAGAGACTGGTGCTGGCCCGCATTCAGAGCAGTATACCGGACACCCTGGCCCCCCTGCAGTATGCCTACCGGCCCAACAGGGCCACCTCAGATGCCATCGCGGCTGCACTCCACTATTCCCTTTTTCACCTGGAAAATTGAGACTCCTACATCAGGATACTCTTCACTGACAGCTCCGCCTTCAACACAGTTGTCCCCCACAAACTCACCCACAAACTGTCCACACTAGGTCTGCACCCCACCCTCTGTGACTGGCTCCTGGACTTTCTGACTGGCAG